CAGTGGAAATACATGTTCGAAGAAAGACGTCCTGCCAAAGCGATTGCCGTAGACAAATACCGTGCATTGCGATGCAATTTACCGCCGTAGTTACGACTGGTTCGTGAACAACCGATGGTAATGTACTCTCCACATAATCAACAGTCGCAAAAGGAGCATGGCCGTCGTGAGACCGCGTCGATTGCGTTAAGTGGGCTTTGCACTCGTTTACTTGATTAGATTTGCTAACGAGTAAGTTGAAAAACCATGACGGCTATTGGTTTGCTGGTTGGCACCAAAGCCAACATTCTTGGGGCTCATGTTTAGTATGATACGATTTCTCTAATCCCCGCAATCATCAATTCCTCGTCGTAACCAGCACATTGTTTACTGGGTGTTGTGCGACTGTCGATTTCGTGGGCGTACAGTTCATTATGCTCGGTTATTCACGAGCCAGTCGTATTGTGGGTTTTACTCAAAATTGGACAGGACGGTTCTTTGAATGAATCTCCCCCAAATCACCCAGCGTGTACAATTCCGTATACTTACCCGTTTAAGTATATATTATATTCTTGAAGCCAAACACAGAAAATCATAGCGAACCAGTCCGGACGACCCCTTCTCACAATTCATGAATGAGCAAATGCTACTTATTTACACGTTATACGTGTTCATGTATACGAAAACCAACATTCCTCGTGATCGTGATTAGAATTTCACGATTATTCTAATCCAATCGATTATCCAAATCGCACTACCTATCAATAATGTTCTCGTACCAAACACATACACCGCTGCAAGCAAACGAGTGCAAAGTCCACTTAAGGCAATCAGTACGCGTGGAAGCGGATCCTCCGTTCTCGCAACTACTATGCTCCTATTCACTCGCGACAACCAGACTGGCAAGTCGTCTCATTTTCAAATTCACTTTGAGCCCACCACATTCACAACCACACTTCAACAAAAACACTCCAAAAGAAAAATCATGGCAGCCTCCAAGAAGACCGTCCTCATCACAGGCAGCACACGCGGCATCGGACTTGCCTTCGCCGAGTACTACACCAAGGCCGGGTGGAATGTCATCGGAACGGCTCGCGCCGGAAGCAACACCGACAAGGTACGTCGAACACATGCAAAACTTTAAATTTTACTTTTTGAGTTGACTGCCAACTTGACGCCACGCTATTTTACTGATGCTTCTTGCTCCATGCCAACAGCTCGCTGCACTCTCGCCCTTCAAGATTGTCACACTGGACGCCGGTGACGAGGCTACTGTGCTCGACACGGCTCGCCAGTTGGATGGGGTACCTATCCACCTGCTCATCAACAACGCCGGCATTGGTGTCTACTCGACTTTCGAGACCGCTACGAAAGCTGACATCATGAAGGTGTTTGAGGTCAACGCGGTCGGACCGTTCCTCGTCACTCGCGCGCTTCTGCCGAATCTAAAACTCGCGACCGACACGCAGACTCCCGCCATCGTCCTGCAGATCACTTCCATCATGGGAAGCATCGCATGCAACAACGACGAACACGCGCAACTGTTCCGCGGTCAGTATGGCTACACCACGTCCAAGGCCGCGCTGAACATGATCACCCGCTCGTTGGCCATGGACCTGCGTGAGCACGGTGTCGCAGTCGTGACAGTGAACCCCGGGTACGTGGACACGGACATGACCCACCATCAAGGTGTTGTAAAGCCCGCCGACACGGTATCGGCGATGGCCGACATTGTGGCCAAGTTGAAGCTTGAGGATACGAGCAAGTTCTTCAACGCAGACCCCACCATTCCTGTTCCAAGCGAGAGTCAAAACACTGAAATAGCTGACGGAGACTCTGTAGACGGCAAGAGCTTTGCTGAAAAATTCGCCGTTCGTTGGTGGCAGCACAATCTCCGCAGCTACAAGAAGATGGCCGGACTTTTGGAGAAGGTGAATATTGATACGAGAGCAGGGAAGGATCTGATCGAGGACTTGGAGGCCTGGACAAGCAAGCATTTCGGCGAGGGCAACATCATACCTTCATCGGAGTTGCCGTGGTAAACGATAACGACCCTGGCTAGAAAGACGATCTCTTTACTTATCAATGGAAGCTTCATTTGATAAAGCTCGTGATTAATACTGTATTTGTGGTAGGGGGAGCTTCGTATTTATATACGTAGGATACTAGCAAGTTCTTCAATGCAGACCCCGCCGCGTCAGCGCTGGAGCTACCGTGGTAGAGCTCCATGCTCAGACCTATTTGGAAGCACTCAGTGCTCCACGAATTCGCGGTATTGTGGTGATTGCTGTCTTGGGGCGGTGTAGATTTGCACACTCACTATCAATGACTGCCCTCAATTAAGATATTGTACTTGTCTGACTCGTAAGATGCGAATTGCAATACAATTGCATCAGTTTGGTTGTGTAGATCACTATTAAGACCTAAGACCTGTCTAAGTACTGAGTATTATTTCTCATGGCTCCCGCAACTACAATATTGCACGGATTAGCAGAATATTTCCCGGAAATGGCTCAAAACGAGTGTCTTTCATGGAAATCAATTGCAATGCTCGTTTAATAGTGAAAGGCGTCCGCGAACCTAAAAATTCACGCCAAGTAAACGCGATTTACGTCCATCGAGTACCCGCAAAGTTAATCCTCGTCTGGTATCGAGACCTGAACATGTTTCTGACGCGACATGGGCGCTAGTTGCAGAAGTTTTGTGCTGGTAAGGTATTTCTGCTGCCGGTTGAGCAACATTTGGTGGGACTTCCACTGTAGTTCTCTCGACTGCTGCTGGTTCTTCCAGCTGCCGTTGCTGTAGCTGGTGTAGGTATTGGTGTTGCTGCCTGGAAGAAACTCTGAAGTTGGTCGAATTCATACTGGAAGAGTAGCTGTTGTTCGTCACACTGCTCCTAAAAAAAGTTCCTTTTGCTGATCTCGCTGTCGTTGAAACAGTGAAGAGAGCTTTGCAATCGAAGGAGACTGCTGCTCCAGTGACCCCATCCGTCTCCACCACAACGCCTCGATGTATTTGCCCCTCTCGATGAAGCTTTCGACATTAATATCGCGACGGAGGCACGCTGCACGAAGAGAATCCGCGTCAGCAGTTGCCAATCCGAACCAAAAGTTGTGTTTGGAGAGGTACGAGTCGATGAAAGCATCCACATCACCGGGCTGGGTTGATGAAGATAGCATTTTATCGGTGTTGTTGGATACAGAATCGGTTTGTTCGGTTGAGCGCAAAATTGCAAATGAACACTGTCGAAATGTATGCAGCACGTAATAATGACGCATTAAATCTGACAAAGTGCAATTTCACGAAAAGCTGCCACCATCTGCCTGTATTTCACTACTTAGTTGCAAACACAGTACGAATGAAGTATTTCCTATCGCAGAGCACACGTTTGCTGCGTGTCATCATGCTTCAAGCGCAATGAAATGGATCATAGTCAATGAAGTTGCAGGAAGGCAACGACCACGTTGAAGATTTCTTTTCCTAACAGATCGTACTTAATTGAAAATATGTCCTGTCCCGTTTCAACTGCCCAATAATCTGCTTCTCACAAATTCCTATACAAAATTTGATCATCTTACAAATCCCCATATGCGGAGATTTCCCGCGACGTAGCTCAACCCTCATAATCCCCAGCCAACCAACTTTTGCGAGGCAACAATTGCCGCCACAAAGTCGTCGCCATTAGTTCTCCTTTTCCTATCAAGTCAAGATGCCTCGTGGACCCCGTAAGCACCTTAAGCGCATGAGCGCGCCCAAGCACTGGATGCTGGGCAAGCTGGACGGCATCTGGGCGCCTCGCCCGTCGTCGGGCCCGCACAAGCTGCGCGAGTGCCTGCCGCTCATCATTATCCTGCGTAACCGCCTTAAATACGCCCTCACCAAGCAGGAGGTCACCATGATCTGCATGCAGAAGAGCGTCAAGGTGGACGGCAAGGTCCGCGTTGACCCGGACTTCCCCGCCGGCTTCATGGACGTCGTGGAGCTCCCCAAGACGGGCGACCAGTTCCGTCTGCTGTACGACACCAAGGGCCGCTTCGTGCTGCACCGCATCTCGGACGAGGAGAAGAAGTTCAAGCTCGCCAAGGTCATCCGTCAGGAGTACACCAAGAAGGCCATCCCGTACATTGCCACCAACGACGGCCGCACGATCCGCTACCCGGACCCGGTCATCAAGGTCGGCGACACGGTCAAGATTGACCTGGAGACTGGCAAGGTCGTGGACCACATCAAGTTCGAGGTCGGCAACCTGGTGACCATCACTCGCGGACGTAACTCGGGCCGTGTCGGCATCCTGCACCACATTGAGAGGTAGGAACACACCTTCTTGACTCACTATGAGCTGGGTGTGGTGGTTTACATCATCATTGGGACACTTTAGTCTATTTCTAGCGAGGATGACAGTACTTTGTCCTCGTGATTAGTGATGCGGCAGATGTACTGACTTAGCGTTGATTGTTTGTTACTTCAGACACCAGGGCTCGTTCAACATTGCCCACGTCAAGGACTCGGCTGGCAACGACTTCGCTACGCGTCTCGGCAACGTGTTCGCCGTTGGCAAGGAGGCTCGCCCATGGGTGTCGCTGCCCAAGGGCAAGGGCGTCAAGCTCAACATCTTGGAGGAGCGTGAGCTGAAGGAGAAGAAGGCCAACAACTAAAGTGTCATTTAGAAGTTGGAAGGAGAGCGTGCTAGGTTCGCTGTGACTTTTTGAAAAAGAAGTCGCGCACTGGTATGTTCTCTTTCGGTCTCTGTCTAGCTGGCATTGAGAGGAGAACTTTCTAACGAGCAAGAATGAACACATCACTTTTCGCTCATTAAATTTGGTTTTATCGTTGTTAAAACATGCTGAAATGTTCAAACGTGCTGTTACTCGATGCTGCAATGTGATTCCTGCTACGCTCTTCTCCACAGCGGCCGTCGTATCCTCTTCTCCAGAGCGGCCTTCCGCTTGAACGTCTTGGTGCAAACGTGTGCATAACGAGGCTAAAGTATGGCTACATGGCAGGTCTCAGCAAAACGGCGGCTCACTTCTCAAAAGTATCCGATTGTAGTGCCACTCGAGGCTTTCTCGTCATTTTCGGCCTCTCTTCATGTCGTCGGGTTCGAACCCTGCGCCGATCCGCCATGCCACGTCCGTAGGGGGTCCTTGGGGTGACTTTGTGTCTCGCTCCGACGCCTCCATGGCCAAACTGCTGCAAGAGTCGCTGCCCAAGACCGAAGCCACTCGTGCCAGTTGGCTGACGACTCACCAGGAACTGGACGACCAAGATCGAGTGGATCAAGTCGAGTTCGTGGACTTGTATACGGGGTGTACATTGCTCTTATTACTGCCAGTTGGAGCTGTCGTCTATGTGGCTGTTGGGATAACTGCGTTACCAGTACTTACGATACTTCAGATCTACAAGATCGCAGCTTTAAAGAGACCTACAAAGAGTGTGGAGAGAGGACTGAGCTTCCAACTATTAGCGCTGCTGTTAGGGATTGTGGCGCTTCCGTGTCTTATGGTTGTGTTGGTCTATTGGCTCGGAACTTTTACGATCATTCTCGTTATTAGCTTGCTGTATTCACTGGCGTCGCTGAAAATATTACTGTTAAGAGACAACTTGGCATTAATGCAGAGCTGCAGTCGGTGGCCCAAGTGGAGCTGGAGAGATACAATTTGTGCGATACTGGGGACCATAGACAGACAAGGATTCGTCAAGTTTGCACTCAAATTCCCATCAGCAGTGGTGATAGCCCCGATACTAAAATATTTATTCGGATGCAATCCGCTGCTCTATCGCTTGGCGATTAGACAGCGATGTCTGTGGACGTCTCCGCTGGATTTCGACGGTAAGTGTTTTTTTTCTTTCGATTTTTAAGAACAGAGTCTGACTTTTATTCTATTGTATATTTTTTTTTCAGACCAGAAGGCCGTAGCTGCAGTCGTTCAAGCTGCGTCGTGGACTCTCGTTAATTTGACTGATTTATTGCCCAATCAACTCAGTAATCCACCACGAAAAGATGACCGAATAGTCAGTGGACACATTCCCTTTCCAGCTCCGGATCGAGTTAGCGGGACAGTGATTGGCGTGTTTACCACAGATTCTCTCGTGACGCTCGTCGATGCAGATCATAACGTAAACGGCAGTATTTTCCACAGCATGACGGCAAAGCGTAGTATCTACAACGTGCTGCTGTTTGTATGGAATCCGTGTCATTATCTCACGGGGTATATCGAGATCAATTTGCAGCACGACGGAGGCATCGAGCAAGCCAGTAAGTTTACGAAGTTTTTTTGTTTTACAGCGTGGAATATTTATTTACCATTTTTTTTAAAGTGTGGTGCCTTGTAGGTGATAATTACTTTGGAAACTTGTTGTTTGAGCGCACTGATGCTCTTTTCTGGCACTACGATCCCATCAAACGCGGCCAGATGGAACGTTGCAGTCTTCAGTTTATTCGCGGTTCTATTGCGTCTACAACATCGGCGGACTCGGTGGCTCTAGATCGGGAAAATAATACTGAAGGGCATGCAGTCAATGGCACTGAAATTAGTCTGGACAGCTATGGAACGGATGGAGGTCTTGGGAGGTTTGAGAGTGCGTTGAGCCTCGGAAGCTGCGACTCTGAGCAGGGCGAAGATATCAACGATTGCAGTAACCGTGTTACTATTGGTGTATCTAGCAGCTTCACGTCGACCGGTGAGGACGTTTCTATTCGAGAGAGAAGTATCACAGACTCAGTGGCGATGTTGCACTCGGCTTCCAGTTCTGCCTCACACTCAGACTTTACTATCTCGGATCGGCACTCGCAACAATTTTATATTGTGTAATTTCTTTAATGTGTAAATAGCCTTGTACAGATCAAAATCGTTTAAAAACTACGATTAATTAAACCGGCTAATGACTACATCTTTATGAATTGGAACGTGAAGTCGACACCTGTATAAGATAATCGGAATTTGAGATCAGTAAGACAAAAACGTTATCGCATTAGTAATTTACGTACCAAAATGCACTAGGCGAAAGCATAGCGTGATGAGCATCCAGAACATGAGTTTGCCCTGAACAAGCGACATTTGTGTCTCCAACACGAATGCGAGTTGATAAAGCGCCCGCATCCCGCAGTTTCGCTTAATTAATATCACCAGCAGTACAATGGATACAATTTGCAGAAGTGCAAACACGAAAACAGGGAGAACTGTTGTGCCGACGTTATCGAGGGTTATTCCCACCAACTCTGTATGATAGCGTGCGTTTGGTAGGCGTACGATAACGAGGATATAGATGGCGTAAAATAATGGGATTACAGCCTCCAGATATGTGGCAAGTACCAGGCATTCCATCGTAAAAAGTATTTCCAGCGTGTCACTTAGTACAAGAGAATTTTCTGCGCAAGAAACAGGTCCTAAGCTCTGCACGGGTCGAATTACGGCCTTCGGCGAAGGACTGACTGCGTCAGAGATCAACGGATGAATTGTACCGTTTCGACTTTGAAAGAAAAACACGGGTAGCTTGAGTAAATTCGAGAAACTATTGCGAGATAAAATACTAACTCCATTGGGTGTTGGCTGGATCGTATCGGCTTTAGAGGTTTTCTCCACAGGAATTGTACCCAACAAAGCCATGAGTCTTTCATCTGCCGCTTGCAATTTATAAGGGAGACAGGAGTAAATGCGAATTTCACCTCGAGTTTGTTTCTTAACTTTCTTGAGATCTCGGCATAGAAAACAAAGAGCATCCAACATGTTGTCACTCTCTTGAGCATTTTCGCTATGTTTAAGTCTCCCCAGCGCAGTAGCGGTTCGGTGGTGAATTCCGTACAGCATAATTATCGTTAGGGAGAGATCGACGACCATGATGACAGTGACAGTAAGAAGGGAAGACGCCCGTTGCATACAGGTGGCCATGTAGATCGAATTAAACAAGTCCACAGTGAAAATTACCGCCTCTGGTGTCATATCTTCCAAGTGAGTTGTCCGCCGTCGCATGATGTTCTTTAAGCCGATCTTCATCACTGGGAGAAGCAGAATAACCATAATTTGGTAGTGAGTCCCATGCGCCGCGTGAAATAAGGCTTCGTAGGCAGGATAGATGAAAATCAGCAGACATTTCGCGTTGACAAAGTGCAAATATCTCGTTAATTGACCCCGATGAGCCAATATTTGATGAATAATTCGTGCGCCTATGATAACTCGAAACGCGATTATTAACACCACACTGAGCACTGGAAACATCGACAACAGGAAAAATGGAACCGGGAACATAAGATGGCTACATATAGCCATTGAACAAACGATAACACTGACCGAAGAGACGAACGATAGCAGAACCAAACGAACGACGGGAATCTTTACTCCATCAATGAAATATGTCGCTTGGACAGTCAGCGTGGGGATACCAACAAATACCAGTATGGATGTTCGGACCCAAAAGCCATAGTTGGAGCTCCACCCTACACTCGGGTCTTGTAATGGTACCAACTCTTGAGCGAATACGAGTGTAACCATAGGCAATGGAGTGCATAAGCATACAAGAAGGACATGCCATGGCGACGTAGTTCTGGTGTACGTTTCCAAGGCCAACACCCGATGGACGGAGTACTTGCCACCGTAGTAGCTGACCTGTAATCGCTTCCAGGTATGCAGGAGCTTCAATCCCCATGAACTAAGGTCCACTCTCATTTAATGTTGTGTATGGTCTTTGTGTTATTTCCGCGTCACCAGCACAATCGAAACCAATCTATTCATGGCTTCAAGCTGTAGCTTCCCGTCTCCGCCCGGATATGAGGACGGGATTACAGTAATCCAACATATTCTGTCCTATTCTACGGTTAATAAAAAGGATTCGCGATTTGATAGATTTTCCGAGCAAACTTAGGACGCGGCCAGTTCGTCGATCAGACTGGTTTTCGCAGTATCAGCGTTTGATGCATACATGGTTTTCGCAGTATCAGCGTTTGATGCATACATTTTTGTTGGTGTGTGCGTTACCACATATTTTAATTTAATTTCCATACGCGGCAAAAAGTTATGCGAGATTGTTGCTCACAACATCTGCAATTAGTATCAAAAAGGTCCAGCACGGGACCATTACGCGGGTAGAAGGTTTTTTTTTTAAATGGGCACTAATTTGATTAATGACTTGAATCGATATGGAGTAACTCAACTTTCGAAAAAAGAAGATGTTAATGATGAAAAAAAGCTCTGTGTGTATTGTTTTTCGAAAAATGCTGTTTAACACTCCCGATGCGGTTGTTCCTCTTCTGCGAGTCGTCCCACCAAATCTCTCGTTGCTATGTGGTCACAGTCACAGTCGAAATCGAACAAACACAACTTTTTTTCGATTTTTTTTTCAAGACTACCATGGTAGCTCAGGCCCCTGGAAGTCGTAGAACTTGGATGTGTCTTCGAGTGTGACCCCCAAAAGCACCGTAGTCATACCAGCAACGGAAGTTTCGGGCTCGATGACGCCGTTGTGGTGGTTGATGTCAGTTTTGACGTAGCCCGGTTGCAGCACAATCGCGGCGATCTTGTCCTTCTTAAGGTCCATCGCCAGATTGGCGTTTATCATGTTGAGCGCAGTCTTGGACGCGCGATAGCCGTACAGCCCACCGTTCGGTAGTTTGAAGTTGTCGTAGTAGACTTTCTCAGGCGGACCAAAGGCCCCGTCCAGATTCGCCTCGATGCTGCCGAGGATGGTCGAGACGGACGCGACGACCGCGAGCTCATGCACGTCAGCAGCCAGTTTCAGGTTGTTGTGCAGTGCACGCGTAGTGAGGAACGGACCCACCGAGTTGATCTCGAATTGGCGCATAAAGTGTTCCTTGGTGGCTGTGGTATACGAGTCTAGCTCCGCGACACCGGCGTTGTTGATGAGCAGATCGATGGGGACACCGTCGAGCTCTTTGGCCATGTGGGCAATCGAACTTTCGTCACTCATGTCCAGCTGTACGATCCTAAAGATCGACAGCTCCTTGAGCTTGTCGGCCGCATCTACATTGCGCGCCGTGCCGATGACCTTCCAGCCCGCCTTTGAATAATGCTTGGCAAATGCGAGGCCAAGCCCGCGGGTGGCACCTGTGATGAGAACAGTCTTGGCGATAGTAGTCATTGGTGACGAGGCTGGTTGTTGAGTGCTTAGATGGGGGAGTTTTCAAAAGTGAGGATATTGTCGACGCAGATCTTCTAGCTTAGGCAAGTTACCAGGAGTTCGGTGCATCAACTTGTCGAGATGGTAATGAATGCGCTTACGCACCGGGTTAACCAAGGAGCGCTTAAGTTGACTTAGTGCGTAAACTCAAGCTCAGACAAACGATTTGATTGCGCACGAGATGAGGAATAACCGGTAGAATCTGTGAGGTGAGAGGAATGGCACAGAGCAAACCAACGAGATAATTTCTGGAAAAGCGACTCGTTAAGTCTTGGGTGGCTTGGGATCGAAAGCAAACATGATGCTTCGCTCCGACTACGGCGCAATGCACGCAAATAAGTGTGATTGGAGGGACAGCGCTACCAAGATTACCGTGCGGTGGTTCTCTGTCAGATAACTTTGGACTGGCTCATTTACATAAAGATTGAGGTGTCGTGGAAGCACACTGGGGATGCTAACAGACAGAGCAGCAAGATGTAGCAATCCACCAGCTCGCTGCGTGTATATGAAGGCCAAAATTGAACATACGATTACGCGGATCTGCTCCATTCACGCTAACAGTGATGACCAGTACGATCAACAATACCAAAACCTTGATTTATCACGCGATCAATGAAACTAACCAACGATCTGAGCGACTGAGGACGCCAAAATGGAAGGAAGTTTGATATGCGTGGGTGAGGTTACAGTGCAAGGTGAACACTGCAGAATCTAGTCGAAAGTGCAGATAACCTTTTCATAATGTAAATTTGAGTAAGCTGCTGAGATTGCCATTGTGACTACTAAACAAAGAAACAAACCGTTCACACACGACGCGCTAGGCGCCTGTGTCTACCTGGCCAGCTCTGTCGTCGAGTCTTTTCCAGTAATGCAGGGGTCCCGAAAATGCAACTCTTAGGTTACTTAATATTATTTTTAGGATGTCGAGAAATTAGTAATTGCATTTTTTTTTATGGTTCAGGGCAATTAATCTATGCCCGTCAAGGACGGAAGTACGGCAACCGAAACAGTGATTTTCTGTCCCTAAGCTCAAACGTGAGTAAACAGTAACGCATAAAAGGCGAAAAGTCGAAATTTGCCACAAACCCAACACATTGGTTCCATGCCAACGCATTAATCTGTATGGCCACCCTCATACTACAAACTACGATTTGAGTGAGTACGATACTCAAACAGTCAATATTTGGCACTTCACGGTTTCCACACGAAACATGGCTCAAGAAATACGTAGAGAGTTGTGCATACACCTAAATATGTGATTCCTCGGGATTAATCATTGATGAGAAGTTCGAAAACATTTTATGAGTATTATTTTTCGGGGTCCCTTCAATGAAGTGAGGAGCTCCCTTCGCTATGTGCGTCTGCGAGGCGCATCCGCGAAGTGCACGTCGCACTGTCGTCAACGATGCAATCTGAATTCTCTGTAACATTAGGTAAGACCTAGATACAATGCACGTCGAGCTATACACATTTGAAAATGTCGATTTCTCTGCAGGTGGTGAGAGTTTATTCCAGTGCAAAATATTTAATATTTAAATAGAAAAGAATTTCGCATCAATTCTTGAAATCTCAAATAGAAAAAGTTGGAGGTCAGATGACAATTTCGCCTGGCCCAATTTGAGTTGTGAAGCTGTCCACCCCGCTTTTCTGTGGCACTCAGTCAGGCACCGCATAGCGATCACAGTGAACGTGAAGGCTTGCTTTGATTGGTTGCTCAAACATTCAAACATGCCAACCGTGATAACCCCTACTCTAACGATTATTGATATCCACAGCAGAAGCCCATAAGATCACAGCTAACACTCAAAAACTATTTCCGGAACAATGCATCTTTGGACAACGAGTACCTTGTTCTGTGCTTTGAATTACTCTCAACAGACACAAGAGAATAATCTCTGAACATGTAGTGAGTCTCAGCTTAAAGACCGACTACCTCACTTAAGCAGGCGGCGATGATCCCCGAGCATAGGCGGCTTTCCGCTCCAAGATGACGTCTTCATTGCGGGCGTTCCCCAAATGATGGGCGGTTGAGTCGCTGGTGATTCCGGTGACGATATCATTGCCTGAGTCTCTGGTTTACCTGTCCCCGACGTTACTGGCGCCGTTTGCGAGACTCCACCAGATCCCACCAACGGAATGCATTCCTTGTACACCTGCCATGAGTACGCATTCTTCAGGAAGCGGATGCCCAACCAGTACCATCGAAGTGTGCATGTTCCTTTGCACGATGAGTAGTCGATGGGGCAGTCCTTGCCGGGGAATTTCTCATGGCAATTGTCGCCTTGGAGCACCAAGGTATCATCAAGGTACACTTCGCATGGACCGTCGTGAGTGTACCCGGTGGAACGCATGATACCTTGCGCCGGAATAGGTTGTGGTGTACCCTTGGGGTTTGTAAAACCACAGGAAAAATCAGCACCGGGGGTAACTTCGTACTTGGCTCTGTCCATGAAATCACGAAGCGATTTGTAGCCGTTCTCCTTGCTCCATGCAGCGAAGTCTTCCTGAGGTTTAAAGCCCTGATTTTCCAGGAAAGCGAGCGGATTGTACTTGGTATCCTTGTCATTCGTCGTCCACTGGGGTTCTGGAAGTAGCACAATCTGGTGTGCATCAGTAGTTGGGAGCACGAGGGCCATGCCTGACAGAGTTGCAGCTACTGCACACGCTTGTACGACGGAGTGAACCATTGATCCAGTTAGCTTGAGAGTGTCGGAAGCACGGGAAAAAGTCAAGTGGCAACAAAGTGTACCTAATGATTTTGTTGCTTCAGTCCGCCTCCCTGTACAGTGACCAAGACTCGTTATCGCCACGCTTCTTCGCGATCCAAAAAATTGATTTGGGATTCAAGGTTTCGGAGCAATTCTAGTAAAGTCACCATATTCATGCAAAGTAATCACGAAATGCGTTGTTTAGATGCGGCGCAGATCGATAGTGCATAGGCTGTAACTTAGTTACAACACAAGATGACCTTGCATTTTACTTGTTGTGAATTAAGAACCTAGTGCTACTGCCAGCGTCCTCACGACGATTACTCGCCTCAGTTGCTAAGGAGGCAATAGTGGAAGCAGCTCTGGATTTGGGCGAGAATGAGAGCTTTAGGCATAATGCTTCGCTTATTTTTTAGTATGACCACGAATAGTAATAGTGGACTTCGAACTGTGAATAAAAGAAAATGAAAAAAAAGAGTGTTGCTTGGCAATTTTCCTGTTTAGTTTATCAAAACCTGTAAAATAAAAAGAGAAGAACGTAAAAATTGTATGCGCACAGAAAGTAGAGGGGATTTGGTCTGGTAGTGCTGAGCAAAAGCACTTTATGATCTAGTTCATCGTACACTGAAAAGGTTTTTTTTATAGCCTTACCAGCGATGCAAAACATCCAAAAAGTCGTGATATCTTTCGTACCCAGAAAAAAACATATTTCGCTCAATTGTCGTGAATAGGGGTGTGCCACAGGACGGCACCATGTTGATTGTTCATTGCAGCGCCTCCACTGCCTGGGTGCGGACGTGGAGGGCACAGCTGTTGTGCTCTGGAGAGCAGATCTGAAACTAACACGAATCTACGGTTGGGTTTCTCCTTCTACCCGTAAAACGCTATTTTAATCTGCTATTCCCGTCAAAATATCCAGTACTCATCGAATTATTTTCTCCATTTCTCGCCAATATTTCTGTAGTTGGTCACACTTAAAAAACGCGAACACAGTCGGGGGGAAGCTGGCACTTCCGTAAGTCTCTTGCCAATTGTATTGCGCTTGCCGACTTTGATGCAAAACCGAAACTGAACTATAACATGCACGCCGACAAACCACTTTACGTAGCTATCACTAGCATCCCAGTGACAGCGTCCTGCAAGGCAACGTCCAGGTAGCTCTCTGCTGTCACGGTCTACAGCTAGATGGAGGATTCACTTTCCTTGTGGACTGCATCCAAAAGGTCTGTTCTCTACAGACTCAACGGGCTACATCCTACAAACAAGGACAAGAGGAGCAGATGTCGGTATTTCATGTCTAGAGTGGGACTGGAATGAAGGGAATGTGGAGGTACCTCGTTGTGGACCGCCGCGTGGTAAAAATTTGTGGACAGGTAAGGAGCTTCTAGGTCGTGGGGAGGCCGTAGGGAAGAAACTCAGTCGTGTTTTTCCTTCTTAAAAAAGAAGTACTCAGAATATATCAAGTTACATTTGGAATTATCGCTCTAGTTCTCGTTCCTACGTCGGCCTGCTAGATACACGACCCCGACACTAAGGAGGAAGACCGCGACACTGCCACGATGCATAGCCACTACATAGTGGCTAACTATCAGCACATGCTACCATAGCTCAACTACAGAGCTTCACTCACTGTATTGCGCGGTCGTGGTTGGGCTGTCATGCCGCCACCCACTACAATTTCTAATCAAGACATATTTTAAATGATGAAGAATCTAAGCTGAGTGCTGACTCAGTTCGGCGTTTTTGGTAACCGCGGTAGCCACTCCACCCTCCAAGGGAACCATCTGTTGTCGCGGCTCCGTGACTCAAATTTCCTACCTTTTACCAACCAGTAGTACGAACAGGAGCATGACGGATTGAGTACGGTATGCACCTGCTTTATCAAATATTTATGTTGGGGACACAATAGGAGACGAGATCTTTGATGCTGGAGAAAGGGGGGGGGGGCTTGTTCAGGCAGGAAATCCACGACTGCTCCCTCCCTCCAGCCTTGGTTCGGTTCGAACGGCTTGCTTGCGCAAGCCGCGCCTAATCCCTCTTTAGATTGATTATCAATTATCATCTATGCAAGGATAGTGGCTATACTGTTACACCTGCAATACTACGCGCCAGTCGACGTGAAATGGCATAACCAAGGATATCCACGGACGTTAACGCATCGAATTAGGGTAGCTTTACATTAATAGTAAATCAATATAGCGCTGTAAAAGTATGACAACGGGATCATATCCGTATCAGTTAATGTATCGAAAACGACAACTACAACAACAACAACGCGGGCCAGGTGCATACAATGCATTCAGATAGACAGAATTTCATTTTCTTTCTAAGTCAATTCGGTCATGTATGGTTTTCCCTCCGCAGCTCGATACCTCGTAAAAAATCCTTGCGAGTGGGACAAAATAAATGGATTTCTCTATTGTATGAAACTGTGTATAAAATACAACACACGGACGTTGACCGGAATACTGGTCAATCCCAACTATTGGTCACAGCAAACATCTTAAATTTAGTATTGCTTAGGTCACGATGATAGTGAGCGGGTGCGAGGAGCGTAGCCGTAGCAAACCCGAGCGGGGTGCCCGCGAAGCAGGGCCGCTGGGTATTTCGTAGGTGGGCCCAGCGACGAGATCACCTGTGAACGGACCCGCTGCACTCTCCAGTACATGTTTTTTCTACCGTGGGGATCCGGACCACCAGTACCGTAACCCAAAGTGTGACCAGTTGTCCAGATTGACTCTCTACCACATGGACGTAAATTAATCCCAGTTGGGCTGTACATTGAGTTCGTACCAAAACACTACCAGTGTAGCAGGGCACGACCAAGTTCGGGCGAACCCGAGCGAGAAGATGGACACGCTGGAAGCGGCGCGCACGACAGTGATCGGGAGCACGAACCCGAGTAGCCTGGACGGCACCAAGAGCTCGTGGAAGCTTAGTAAGAGTGATGCGGTGGACGATAATGGCGAGTGGTTGAAGTACCGCCAGCCGGCGACTGATTTGTATGGACATTTGTATTGGGCGTCTGGCACGGACAGCACGGACGACCCGAAGGCCGAGCCGGGCGGTGACTCTGGAACTTGCAACGGAGAGCGCAAGTGCTCTGCAATCTGCGTTGGAGAACGCATACGGACGTTGGGACGAGTGCTAGTGAGCGCCTGGACTGACCTTGACGGAACGATAGTGTGTCCGAGACACACGAACTGGACGAACTGGACGGTAGCCGCTGAAGCTTGCGACGGCGAGCGCTGGTGACGAACTGGACGAACTGGACGGACGGCGGTACTGGCAACAGACTGTGCACGGCGGCGTGGTGACTGGTGACGAGTAGTGCGAGTGGCGCAGGACTGCAACGGCGGTCTGAATTTGCTGAAGACTGCGTTCGTGAGGGTAGGCGCTCGGGGCGTACACCCGAGTGGTTAAGTGAGCGTTGACCGCGGACTCTACAAAGGACATCAGTGCGACGCAAAAGGTGTACGGTGAGTTGGTGTCGTAGGAAGTGTTTGTATTGATCAGTTTGAACGTAAATAAAGTAGGTGTCGCTGTCAGTTGGACACGCACCGGCGCAGTGGGCGCAGTTGTTCGCTGATGGCCAGCAGGACTTTGGACGCATATCAGCATTGTCGACGACCAAACCCGTCGTGTAGGGTAAAGGAAGACATGTTGCATGGTGGTCATACAGGGCCTACATTGCCAAGACCACGAAGAACGGCCTGAACGACTCAAAGAATTACGGACGGTTACGCTACGCGGCTACGAATGGCAAGAACAAAGATAGTCACGGTGCCGACGGCGACTAGTGGGGTGATCACGCGGTCGATGTTGTCGCCAGACACCACGGATACGACGGAGACTGCGGGAACACCAGCGGCGACAGTGATGCCGATCTCTTCGGATCCGACGACGAATACGGGAACTGCGACGCGGGAACCAACCGATACGGTGTCCAGCCGCCAGAAGCCCAGACTCGACAGGAAGAGACGGATCAGGTGACGGACACGATAACGATGTGAGGCGGTGTTGACGCTGGAACGCCACCGGCACCACCAGCTGCAGTAGGATCTGCAACGGGCGGGCAGATCCAAGAACGAGACGCACCAGTAGGACGTGGCGGCGACGCTGCGGCATCGGATACGGGTGCAGCGGCCTTGCTGACGACGATCCAGCAGATGATGTCGACAATGACGCGGTTATAAGTGAGAGTCGAAGCGATGGAGACGACGAGAGCAGTGCCTGTGGTGTCACCTCCACAACGAACACCGCAGTCTCACACCGTAGAGCCGGCACGAGAGCCAGCGAGACTACAGTCGGCGACAACACCAGCGGCTTGGCAGCCACGAGATCCGGATCCTGTAATACGACAAGCGGCTCCAGTGATGGTAGTGCAACAGCAGTCACCGGCAGAACGACAACCATCGCCACCGGGAGCGACACGAGGAGTCCAAACAGCCGTCGACGACGGACAGGATCAAGCCGCAGGCGGGGGCCGAGTCCAGAGAGGACTTCCAGCTCCTGACTGTAGCGAGGTCAACGACAGTACCGATAACAGCGACGGTAGCGACAGTAGTGATTACTGGAGCGCCAATAACCCCGTGACCACAGTATGGAGGCCGCCAGTAGCGATGACTGCGACTCTAGCGATGATGAGCCCAGACGGCGCGGACAACAACGACGACAACGTCGACGACGAGTGGTCGCGGTACCCGCGGACCCACCACGGCGTCAACGACGAAAGACGATCATCAAGGACTTGGAGTTGGCGACGTTCAAGCCATCTCCAACTGTCTCTGAGTCGACGTTGATAGCCAAAGTCGACTTGGCGTTGGAAGGGACTAGAGTTTCGGATCAAGGCGAATGGACGGATGAAGAACTGTACTATATTCTCAGTAATAAGCTACAAGATACGCCGCAAGGTAGTGGGTCCAGATGGACCAAGAATTGTCCCGGAGCGAACGTGGACAACGTTGAAGACGGTCTTACTACGACGATACGGGAGCGACCTGACAAGTCCGCTGCTGAATGGCGAGTGAGCCGGAGACGGATGATGCCGGGAGAGACCTACGTCGACTTTGCGGCTGGCCTACGCGATCTTACTGGACAGAACCAAGTCAGTGA